GCCGATGGAAATCTTCGCCGGTCTCGCCGCGCCGTAATGGAATCGAACGCCCACTCCATAATTGGAAGTAAATACATCGCCCGACTGGGAAGAATTTACGCATTAATCGAATGGGTTCCCGATTGAAATCTTTTCTTCGCGCCTCGGTGAATTCGAGGATTAAAATATCTCTGAAGAACGAGAAAGAAAAATGCGGGTCAAGAATCATTTGTATTTAACAAGAAAGAAACTTCGTAAAAGACTCAAAGAATCGTTCGAGTGTAATGAATTGGCAGTCAGTCCTCGGAAACGGCAGTATGAAAAGTTCTTCAAATGTTATAGAAGACTATTGATTGTCCAGAAGTGCAGGCTCGTCGGGGCCGCTGTACACTCATTCAAAGATCGTTGATTTATTCGGTGTAGTGCAAGTAAAGAAGTCCGGCGAAAACCGGGTTCAGAATCGGGTACGATTCCGTTGGCCGAGGTTTTCTCTTTTCTTACTTTAAACTGCAGCATTGCTAAGGGCTATATTTCTCCGTCGGGTTAAAGCTCTAGTGTTGTTAAGTATTCACACTGTGTATCTTGTGAATCTCCAGAAGGTACAAAAAAAGCTACTCCCTGCGCGGTATTGCATTGCTTTCAGCCGGTGTCTACAGCAATAAACAATGCGTAAAAGTGAATAAGGCACCTCATTAAAATGTTTCCTATTCACATTTCTGTAAATGTGGCAAACGTCTAAAGACTGAACTGTTGCTGAATATAGGTATTTACAATTTTTAATGATTAATTTCGCAGTTTAATGATATATTTCCAGTAATTCAAATATCTTACATACCAATTGCTTGAAAAGTAAGCATATGGTATTCAGTGAGGTCTAAATTAGATAACAAACAATGTCCAGTACCTGGCAAAATTATTAAAAGTACAATTCAACTGTTTTCATAACTGTATTTTAAATAGTGAATATTGAAAGTTTTTCAACTTTCCTGACCTATTTTTCTTTTTCTCACTACATATAGACGTCATCGTACATATCAATACACACAACGTACAACCCTCCTGTATTGTTACTAAAGAGCCCAAAGCTGCAGATCTTACCCTTTCGAAAGGTGTATTAGCGTAGTTACGAACATAAACATTTGAAAGAAAAAGTTGAATTTATAAAGGGGAATTTAAATTATCGGTATGGGTCGTTAAATATTCTAATTGCACAAGCATAGGTAATATTATTCTCGATTTACCGCCCGCTTCAGGCTGACTACCCCCGGCGACTTTTCATTTTTAACTATTTATTGGAAAGCTAGGGAGAGAACATCGTAATAACGTCTTATCCCATTTTTCCAGCACTGGTGTCTCAGGAGGAAAGGACAGTTTTTGCGCTCTTTTGAGCACAAAACTGAGTGTATTCTATCGTTCCCTGCGCCAACCTTAATGTAGTGCTATAAAATAGCAGACACCTATTATTGTTTATGAAAGCCATAATGATATCGCAAACTAAGTGTTTCTAAAGTTTCGGCTCCAAGGGACAATCTCTTTTTCAAAGAAGCATTGCCACCGAAATTAAATTTATTTATTATATTTTATGTATTTACTTAAATAATCATAATAAGCGTATTCTGATATGACGCTCATGTGTTCCATGTACAGCGGGACCCGAAGGACGCCTTGAATTAATTTTGCAGTCAGCATATTCTCGTTTCATTAAACGTTGACAAGAGTAAACAAGAAATTAATGCATTTAATGACACTTCACATTCAAGGACCCCACAAACGGGTGGGAGTTAACCCAGTTTCGCACAGCGCGGCGCGCACCGTCGGTAATCTCGTCTTTGTTCGGCTGCGGCGCGCTTGCGGGCGGCCTCCTCTGCAGTAAAAGCAGCGGAGCGACGCGCTGCGACGTGCATTTGTTTCCCCCACAATGCCTCGCGCGACCGCGACCGTCGCGCGCTCTGCCTCCGCTTTTACGTTCGGTGCGCCGGCGGTGTCTTCCGCGACGCGACGCGTCGCACAACTCTTTGGCCGCCCTCCCGCGCAGGGGGAAAGAGAAAACACTGCCGGTAGAAAACGTTTGCTTTGCTTAGCCGAACATGGGTGACATCAGTTATGAACTGTTGAAAAAAAATTCGATGGCACAAAAATTGAAAAGCATTACAATGTGTGTATTCTGTAAGCAGCAGTATTCTTTATTTGTTTCAGGAAAATCTAGCGTTATCTTGTAATCTAGCGTGTTTCCGCTGCTATAAATGACAGACATTCCGTACCATTTTCTATTAGACCAGTTCTAAAGACTCGCCAGTTCTAAAGACTCGCCAGTTCTAAAGACTCGCCAGTTCTAAAGACTCGCCAGTTCTAAAGACTCACCAGTTCTAAAGACTCACCAGTTCTAAAGACTCGCCAGTTCTAATGGATGAGTTTTGAAGGCTGGCCAATTCTTAATGTTGACTCTCTTCCCATCTAAAGTTGAAGACAATATGAAAGTGGACATTTGCGACAGTTCTTTTTCTGTACCTTGACAACTATTTCAATTGGACGAGCCGTACGTCAGCCTGGCCACGCTTCTCTTCCACCCGGCAGGCTGGCGCGGCGTCGCCCAGCGCCCAACGCCCAGAGATCAGAGGCCGCGTGGCGGGCCAACGGGCGGCCGGTCACCGGATTTGGCACGCGCGACGAGCCAGCCCTCGCGCCGGAAAATTGGCTATCAGTGCGCAATCGCATTACGGTGATCCGGCGGTGATCGGCGCGCGCCCACCGCTCAGACCCGTCGCCTCGCCCCGGGCCGCGTCGCGTCGCGTCCCGTCGGGCAACATGCGGACGCACGCTGTTCTGGTCTGCAGAAAACTGCGCACGCCGAGCTCCCATCGAGACTGTATCCTCAGCAAACGGATTACCAGAGATCGGATTCTGATGACATGGCAACATATCATTTGTGCATTCTAGACGTAACCAACTAGTAAATGAATGTTTATCGTATGCAGGGGAAGTAAATGTATAGTAATTGAGTTATTTTTTGTTCGTTTTGAATTTTCAGGTCATTTGTTGGGATCTTAAAGTCATATTTGTAATTTTTACAAATCTTGTTCCCTTTTAGTGCTTTTTGTTAACGAATATTTTATGAATATCAGTGACAGACTAACGTAAGTTTTTTTACATCATCAGATCTTGACAAAATTCACTACTGCAGTGGACTCTTTTTTAAAACTCAAAATTTCTGGGATCTTTATTAATTTCCTTGAACTTTCGAAACTGGCAGTTGAGAGATCAGAGCTAAAGGTTACGTTTCCTACTAAAATAAAGACGTAATATTAAATATAACTTTATATAAATAATCTGTAGTAAAAATTGAAAAAATATTGAATAAATCAACATTTCATTAAAATTTTGAGTATTTATAAAACTGGTGTTTCCCCTTATTTTTAAGTCATTTTATTCTTATTATTAAGATTCATTATAGGTGATTTTCAATGAAGTTTTAGGACATCAGCAACCGAGCTTTGCTGTTCATGTTTACTAATAGCGCTGAAAGGCATTTTAATATTGCTTTTGATTCCCTGCAGGCGATTAGGCGGCTAGCGGAAGGGGATAGTCAATCATTTCAACCCTTACACGAAATCATTTATGAAAGTTATTATATATTAGGTTTTGACTGGATAAAGAATTGACCACCCCAACCGCAAATTAAATCCGTATTTCCTAGAATATGCCCAATTGTTTAAACTACGTTAATCTACCGCGACAGTCAACTCTGAACAGCCTTAACAAGACAATTGATGAGATAAGAGCTCGTGACAAATACCTTCACTACATTTCACCACACAATCACAATTTTAAGTTAAACAATTTCGAGAGAATACGTTTCCCTGTTCACCTGCCGTTGCAGCCCCGTAGTTCTTAAGCACGATGGAAAGTTATAAATTGTGTTTTGACTTGTCAAATAAATCAGTGTTCTAGTTGGGAATCGAACCCTGATTTCCCGAGTAACGGTAATAATATACGTATACAATAACTGTAACATGCACTACACTTCGTGTTTTCATTTAGTGTATTAGTTTCTTTCTTTCAATTTTGATAGTTGTGAGTATAATAAGTCATGTAATGTTAATTATGAAATTAAGTAAACCCATGTATTTCGTGTTTTTGTTATGTATATATTGTGTTTAAACATATTTATACTATATTAATCGTTACTTAGTATAATGATCATTTCATCCAAAATAATCCATAATTTCATCCAATCCAATTTCATCCATAATTTCATCCAAATTTCCTTCGTGAAATCGTCCTATTAAGTTCCTTTCCGGCTTTAGAAATTTTCAGATAATCCCCTCGTAGCTTTAGGGCTCGAGGATTTATCGAGAAGTTTCAAAACATTCATAGGCATCATTCAAAAGGAAATTAAAATGTTGGCAGCTTTTAGAATATTGAGAAAGAGTGACATGCTTAAGCTAGAAAGACTCAGAGCATTAACTGATGTCACTGCAATGCCTCTGATCGGAACGCTTTAGGATTCTAGTCCCGGCGGTGCTGTGGCATGATTTTCCAACTAGCTACATTGCTGGGTTAAATTCAGCTGCTGTCTGGAGGAGAATTCTAGAGTCCAGGTGATCGGTATTTTTTCCGTAGTATCTCCGATCTAGGCAAATTCTGGCTAAGTACTCTAAAACTGTCCCGATCTTTCCTTCCGCTTCACTATTCTATCCTCAATCTTTATTTACCCGCACATACACAGGCACTACACTATCAGACTTAGAGCTTTTCACTGCAGAGGTGGTGCACAGCTGGTAGGTGACATCTTGTTGAGAAAATCCCAGCAAACCGACGAGTAGGATGGCGCCGGATTCGCCATCCACCGAGAAAAGATCACCGCCTCCCCCACGATGAAAGCATGCACTACACTTACTAATGACCTTAGCAGTTCACACGTCCGGAATCACTACTCAGCCAAAGAATGAATGTGAATCCCTACTCAGCCAATAAATGAGCGCCAATCCCTCACCAACCAACGATTGCCTGCGTGCCGGCAGGTGCTGGGCGACGGCAACGTGACGACGTCGACGGTGAGCCTGACGCCGACGGCGGCGCTCAACGGGAAGGCGCTCACGTGCCGCGCGGAGAACCCCGCGCTGCCCGCGGGCGTCGAGGAGGACACGTGGCGCCTCAACGTGCACTGTGAGTACTCGCAAAACTACGCCCCGTTCGCGACAAGCGCGTAGAGCAGGCATGGAAAGCTTGCTTAAGAACCGTTGAGCAACGTTTCATGTCCAATGACTTGGAGATGTGGGGTGGAGGCGAGGTATTATTTACAAAATTCACCATGACACTACCCTTAAATCACGAAGTCCTTTCAGGATGAGGCAGGAGAGGGCAACACTGTCATCAAATAACAAGCTTCATTACGACTTTTAAAAACTTATTTACTGCCTGTTAGGCATAATTTGCCTTTCAGGTGGTTTTGACATGCACTTTGTTAATACATATAATTTTAGCCTTTCGGTTAACAGTATTTAAGGAGAACGGCTACCTCCTAAACGACGTCTGCAGAGCAGTAATTCAAGAGAGATTCCTTTAAGTTTTATATTTAGTTATTTGACGTTTTCAGCAGCAGAATTTATAAATGACAGGGATTGAATTGATTATAATTTACTGTGGTTTAAGAGAGTCTTTGGGGTACCGGGAGAAAATTCAGGTAGGAATGGAAGCATTTTTGCCTAGATAAAATCTTTGTGCACTTGTAGAAGACGGAAAAGGAGTGAAAAATCTGTTGATCATCTAATGAATGTATTCATTAATGTGAGGAAGGCTTAGGTATCTGTGCATTTGCTTATTTGAAATAAACCAAGGGGCTTCTACGGCTTTTCTTAAGTACTTAATTTGAATAATTTGTAGTTTCTTCAGATGTGTGTTTGCTATATTGTTCCAAGGCGTAAGTTAATGATGGGCATATTATTGTTTTAGAGATTGCTAATGCGCATTACAGACTAAGCGATGACTTTTTATTTATTATAGTTGTAAAGTTTGTTAATGTTTGCGTATGTTTTGTTTGTTATTTCTTGAATGTGTTTTTCCATGTTAATTTTTGATCCAGTAATACACCCAGGTACTTTATGATTGTTTCGTTATTAAGCCGAAAAATTGCAGTACTTTACATTTTAATTTGTCGTGGTTGGTGTATTTTTCTTAATGAGAATATTTCAGGTTCTGATTTGGTAGGGTTTATGGCAATTCTCCATTGCATTGTCCATTCGACATATTCATTTACATGCGACTGGAGATCTTTGCAAGTGTTGGTAATATTTGAATTTGCTTAAATTTGTTGTTTTGAATCTCATGATTAAGTAACAGTGTCCCCCACCCTTTTCAGATCGTGACCTTGAAAAACTGTTTTGATCAAAAATTAGAGTTTTAAAAGCGATATCAACCTCTTTGAAATAAAATTTAATCCCGCATTTCAATGCAATGTATTTCTAGTAACTTTCTGAACCTGGAAAGCATACTAACTTCGTTTGCGTGAAGGGACGAATCTTTTCGAATGTAAAATGAATTCCTTTTTATCAACTGTGTCTGTCTAAAAAGTAACTAACATGATATTTTTTAAACTGATGTAATGATTTGATGATTCAAAATCAACAGTAAAAATCGGACCTATACTACATGAGCACTTCATATATTTGCATCACTCCCCTCTGTCAAAAAAAATTTAAAGGAAGAATTTGGATATTGTTTGAAAAAAATTCTCAGGGTAATGTGAAGTATCAAAACTATTTAAACAAATCTTTTTCAAATTGCAGGGTTTCGATTTGCGCCAGATGGATCTAGAAATGTTTATTTGGCAAAAATTCAACGATTTGTTGAGGCTCTAATGTTATTCACATAGGCATTGACAAACTAATTCAGATGCAGGGACGTTGTGAAAACGAACCCAGTTTTTCTGTACCAGGGGACACCAAAACATGTACGTGCGTTTTACATACTATGCATATATGTTTGTATAGAAGGAAGTAAAAAGTGGTGCTACAGATTGATACATATATTGTACAAGTTTCTTAATTTCTGTAATCTGTCTCTTCGGATTTGCTCCACCCTCTCCCCAGATGATACTTATCAGTGCGTAAAAGATATTTCTTCACGCCTCATCCCAAACCTGGTTCTATATGCAAATTTTCTTTAAACATTTGGAACAGTTTTTGAGAAAAAGTTGTTTTGACGTTTATAAAAATTCATAATTGTGTACGTTTTCCAGAAGCCTAAATAGAAATACTTTGAAGCACTTGCACTCTCAAGCGTAATAATTTGAACAACTTGCGTAAAGAAGGTATGTTATATAAACGACGTGAGAGATATTTCAAAAATTACATTTGTGTAAGTTGAAAAGTCCTAAAAATACATTAACATGGCGTTATGTCAATTTTTTCTTTATTGAACCCTGTGTATACGTACAACTAAAACTTTTCTTCGATTCCATGTATAACATTTAAACATAACGTAAAAATGCGTACTTATTGTGTGACTATCACCTCTTGCTCGAGCTCGCACGTTATCGGGCGGCTTTTTTCCATTTGCAATATTGTTTCCTCCCCGAATGTCCCTTGTGACTGGAATGAAGTGCGACGTGGATTCCCAGTCTGTTTCAACGAAGGAAAAAAAGACCTGTAACATTTTCCCGTGAGTAAGTATATATATATATATATATATAT